GGATCGAAGTGCGATAAATGTCGTGGGTTAAACTATCTGTTTCTGGTTTCCATTTCAAGATCGTCGTATTTTGCGGCTTGTGTTACTACTGACTGTTGTCTAATGCGTACGTTAATCAGCGTAAACGCACTGTATGAGCTGGCTTGATTGTTTATCAAGCTTTTCCTTTTATATTCTTGGAAACGCGTACTTTACGGGTAAACATAGACGCGCAGTTAAAAAAGAAGAGGGTCCTCGACAACTCTAGTATCAACAGAACATGCATCAACACAAGCGGAGACAGGATAAAGCATAGCACCATCATAACATCGACGGTACCAGGTTGTCCTAAAAAACTTGGAACCCCGAGCACAGGATCCCTGAGTGTAATGGCGATCCCCAAAAACTCTGTGGGCGATTCGATCTTCGTCAGCGAATTTAAAATCAACCGGGCAGCACATTCCAAGAATTGAAATCAACCTGTACTTTGGCTGTACAGACTACCACTTAGACTGTCCAACCAGTCAGCAAAGAACACAGGAATCTTAAACGCACTTCAACCACCAAACAACAAGTTCCTCAACTTGAGGGTATCCAAAACCCGAGAAAACGACCGCTTTTCCCGATGATTCTCTAATAACTATGGACTTTTAAGACAGCTGTGACCTCCCCTCAGTTTGCAGGACAAAAATTATAGAATGATCTGGAAAGAGTTTGACGGGAAGCTCGAGTTTCTCTATCTAGGGCTTTTGACGGTCACGTCTCACTCAGAGAAAAAACTCCAAGTATAAAAATAACCCAAGACTATTTCTTTAAACGCAAAATGTGATGTTCGGAAATGGAAATTAATCAGGCAGTCCATTAATCTCAAAAACGTATTTACTCAACAACTAGTGAAACCAATTAATAAGGACGAGGTTTCTAGACCCTGGCTGATGAAGATAAACTTCCCATTTTCCCGTACGGCGGCTGAAACTCTCGAAGCATGTCCTGCCAACAGACGCCGGTTGTCATCCATATGATGACAGAATCAAGCGCAAAAGCAACTTGGAGCTGACTGTTCTAAATGTGGACTGCTAAGATCAGGAAGAACCGTAGAGAAAACAAGGACTATCAACTAGGAAAACTCTGTGTAGGTAGATCACCTTTCCATTGACACAAGACTCATACGGATCAACAGGACGAGGAAACTCACGCGCTTCAAATTGAGAGCATAAACTGACTATACATGAGGGCCGAATAAATTGGATGAGCTGCGTGAACTCAGTAATGCTAATAATGCTTATCTGATGGGAATATCTGAAACATGGATATATTCTCGATTTACGAACCAGAAGCTAGCAATACTCGAGATGTCTTTATTCTGCAACGACAGGAAAACATAATTGAGGGCGGATTAACCTTAAATTTGCGATCTTGCCCAGAAGTATATCAAGTGCACAACCACGAGTGTGTCAGTCTTGATGAGTCCGCATGGTGTGCAGTAAGATTGTCTACCACCTCGCGGCGTCTAGTTGGAGTCATCCACAGGAAGTGTAGAACTTATGGTCTACTATGATATTAGTACTGCTCTAATAATAGACCTAATCCTAAATTTGTAGATTTGTCATGATATGACTGCCTAATCTATAAGATCTTACGTGGAAGTCACACCATCGACTACATCAACTCACTGTATCGTATCAATTACCAATACATGATGTAGAACAAGGTCAGGTTAGAGAAAGAACAATATATTTAATATGAAAAGAAGATATAAGGTAACATTCAGCAGAGACCACGCCTGCATGGCCGAGCCATGCCGTTCGATCAACTCTAGTCCATTCAATTCATTAGTCGCGCCTTCTCCATCGTTAGGTATTTCTTCGCGTTAAATATTGAATATCTATTTTCTGAGTAATCTCGTATTCAGCTTTGAGGATTGTGTGGTTATGGTCCAATGCCACTACACTACTCTCCCACCAGAATCAACGTGGTGTTGGTTCGATACCAAATTGGATGGGACTGTAGTGTCCCGAAGGTTACCAAGACTAGTAATAATCCTCCGGGTGATGACAAGCTGAAAGATAAATCAAAAAGAAGACGGCAGCATCTGGTCGGGAAATACATGTAATAATTTTAAAATATTTGCCTTCATGCTTACAATAAAAATTTGAGTGATTATTTGAGCTATAAAAAAATGGGATTATAATAATAATAATAAAAAAACGATGCGTGTTAATAGTCGTTGGTTAATAACTTAACGTATAGGTAGTAAGTATTTTGTGTTTAGAAATATTAAAGTTATGAATATTGTAGAAATGTTAATATTAGTACTACTCTAATAATAGACCTAATCCTAAATTTGTAGATTTGTCATGATATGACTGCCTAATCTATAAGATCTTACGTGGAAGTCACACCATCGACTACATCAACTCACTGTATCGTATCAATTACCAATACATGATGTAGAACAAGGTCAGGTTAGAGAAAGAACAATATATTTAATATGAAAAGAAGATATAAGGTAACATTCAGCAGAGACCACGCCTGCATGGCCGAGCCATGCCGTTCGATCAACTCTAGTCCATTCAATTCATTAGTCGCGCCTTCTCCATCGTTAGGTATTTCTTCGCGTTAAATATTGAATATCTATTTTCTGAGTAATCTCGTATTCAGCTTTGAGGATTGTGTGGTTATGGTCCAATGCCACTACAGAAGCACACTGCTGAAATTGAATGCTGGAACAATTATCCCACTATGCTCGTTTCGGATTCACTCATATCCTGATTCTAGAGGACTTCAAACTTTTTTAAGTCAATTTTGTGAAAAATGTGTACATTTGAGATGGGAACTCTACTGAAGCTCGGTTCTTCAACCTCATTGAAGATCTGAGATTATTCGAAACTGTCAAGTCGACAACTCGTTGGAGAAACAGTCAGACGCCATCGTGCTTAGACTGAGTGTTTACAAACGAGAATATCATAATGTACAACTTTTTAATCCTGGCTCCATTATGGAAAAACGATCACGCCGTCATAGCCTTCAGTTTTATCAACGAACCTGAGCTAAAACATCCCACCAACAACAGCCACTGTAGTTTCAAACAGTTAAGTTTGTTGACTTCACAGGATAGTCTACAGCAGGTGGACTGGGAATTTCACCCTCAACTTGATGTGGATGCTCATTGGGACTTCTTACCACACACGATCTTATTAGCTGCAAGGCAGTCTGTTCCTCTAACGGTCCCTAAAATCTACAAACAACCTACGGTCATCAAGAGCCGCATTCTTCGTTTGCTAAGCCGTAAAAGGCACTGCTGGGCCGAATACAAACGAACTGGTAACAATGGCACACACAGGCAATACAAAAAATAAGGAACATATGCACAATGGCAATAAGAGAAGACAGGCGTCAGTACCAGATAAAGAATATCGATAAATTTTTCTCTAATCCAGAAGACTTTCTCCATCATTCAGCCTCTATTCGATAAGCCAAAACTGGAGTTTCCAAATGCTAGGTCCCAATGGCTCGACCAATAACGACGGTGATGCCGCTTACCTCTTGGCTGAACAATACTCTCAGACGTTTCAACTGACCCACATTAATTATATTTATGAAAGCTTCATCCGCAACCGCACAGGATTTTCCGAAGTGAACCTGAGCGCTGACTTGGATTACCGGAAAATTTGGCACCCAAAAAGGACATTTCTCCTGGACACGATATTGTTTGTGCAGATGTACTGAGGGAAGAATCCTTGATCCTGGCAACACCACTTGGCATGGTGTTTTTACACTCTGTAAGCCGAGGCACATTACAAGAAATTTGGAAGATCAATCACATCACAACAATTTTCAGAGGAGGTCGATACAGCGAACCTCTGAGCTATCGGCCAATAGCACTTCTCTCTATACCATCAAAAATTGAGTCTACTACTTATTATTCATAAACTTCATTTCACCCCAACAGCACGGTTTCAGAACACCTCACTCTTGTATAACCAACCTGCTGTCTGTAGTGGACAGATGGTCAACCACCCTTGGTCACAAGCGGGAGGCTGATGTTACTTACCTTAGCTTCTCAAAAGTTTGTGATAGATCCAGTCTTAGGTGTCTTATCAATAAGCTTAAATGATTAGGTATCAACTCACTTTCAAATGACTGGCTCATTTCTTATCCGAAAAATTGACATTTTAATGTCTCGGTTAACTTCTTTTTCTCTCAGGCTAAGGAGTGTCCTAGTGAGATCCTCCAGGGTCAAGTATTAGGATCTCTTCTTCCGTGATTTATGTGGACGATCTTCCACAGCAGGTATCGTCAAAATATTTACTTTTTGCTGATGTGAAACTCTGGAGGAAATTAAGTGACCAAGAGTATAAAGCGGAACTAGACCTTTACCCATTAGAGCACGGACATCTTAGACGTGACCTTCTAATGACTAACAGAGTCCTAAACACTTCTATGCATCCCCTTAAACACCTACTTACACTTAATCCCAACATAAAACTTAGGAGTAACACGCAGGAAGTAGAAACGCAACACAACAGAGCCGACTGTAGATACACCTTATACTCTTTAAGAGTAGTCAAATGATAGGGTTTGCCGGCAACTGAGCTGGTTCAACCGACTACTCAGGAGTCCTTAAAGAAAAAAACTTGACATATTCTTAAGGATGAAGGATAGTAACTTACTACGATTTGCCAACTCTTTTCTTTTTCCTCCTTTATCATTAATGTATCTTGGTTCATGCATGAAGGTATCGGTGATCCACTGCTACTAAATACGGAAGCTCGTTAAGCAAAAGCGTCTTATATTCCGTCCAGAACCAAGTTGAACCATTTATTTTAGCTCTTCTCACTCACTCTTCTGTTCATGCTACCTAGTACAAAAAGTGAATCCTCACTTGACGCAACCTGCTACAATAAGACATCAATATGTGCCGACAGTTTAGTATGGGTCTAAAAATAACAAAAATATGTTTTGTTTCATACTTATTTTATTGGATTTTGAATATAGCCACGTAAAAATCAAAATGTATCACTTCAAGGTCAGGCTTTTCGTGCAAGAGGTTACGGGTAATTTGCCATGGTATTTAACTGATAATTTTTCTGGTGGTAGGGGTTGACAATCATTAGTGCATATAAGTTAAATCTCACTGTCAGCCTTTTCGTGCTAAAGATGTAAACTAACCACCATGTGATTGTCAAAATAAAGCCTAACTTTGTATTCATCCAACCTTGCAAATATCAAGGTGGTTTTTGATAAACCAAAAATCGTTGACGTAGGTCTCACTTTTACAATCAAACCCACTTATTATGCTAGTATTTGCAAGACTTTCAACTAAAGCATTCGGCTCGAGTCGTCAAGATAAGGAGGCTCAACGACGATATAGGTAAGACCAGGGAAGGTTGACAGTTGACCACTGTTTATGATGTAGAAGCACCTAAATAATATACTAATACCTACAGCTTTAATTAATCAGTCATTACCTTTCGATATTATTGATATCTAGCTTCGTAGCTGTTACTGATCGTAGATGCCTTCCAAATACCATTCAGTTTTTCGACCTACTAGTGGTTACAAAGTGTAAAATCTACAGTTTAACCACTTCTCCCATAGTTATGCTCACTGATTGTTTCTCCACCGGTTTGAGAAACAACTATTTCTAACCTTATGCTTTTAGTGATAAAATACTATATACACTTCTCTTTTTGTGAAGTATTTGATTTTATTCCAAGTCACTTCAATATAAGTATTGGTGTCATAACTTCACAGGTAAATAATTTTCTCCTGAGGCATTTGCATTCTAGCCTTCAATTTGGACACTAAAATGCTTCTCACTTATGCGTTATCAGTGACCTTTTTGACTCATCGAGATTTACTTGATTCATTTGCTAGTTCATTTGGTACATCGACCTCCACTTTTATATCGTAAATAATCACAATCCTTGTTATTTTTACTTTTCATTTTAGGTATGAGATTATCTGCTGCATCCCGATATATAATATGTCCACTTTAACACTATTTAAGGTTTGGGATTACTCACGCTAACAGTTGCACATAAAAAAGTATCCACATTTGAACACATGATAATCCTTATTTCATACAGACTGCCTTCGATCAACAATGATTCCTGGTAGTCAAGCGCATATTAACGCTAGAGATGCAGCGGTAAAATCTATCGAAGAACTTGCCAACTATTTCAAAGTAAATTACTCATTCTCCTTTCTTATTTCACTACTGCTTTAGGTTGACTTAAAAACTGGCCTTGATCATACTGAAGCTCAACATCGACTTAAGTTATGTGGTCCAAATGAATTGAAACACCCAAACCCAGATCCTTTATATAAGAAATATCTCGAACAATTCAAAGAACCTATGATACTGTTACTACTTTCATCAGCATGTATCAGTCTTATTATGAAGCAATATGATGATACCATTAGTATTACTGTTGTAAGTTTCATTATTCCTCCTAGCAAATACCCATTAATCCTTTTTAGGCAATTTTAATAGTGGTTACTGTCGCGTTTATTCAGAGTTATAGATCAGAAAAAGTCCTAGAAGCTTTACAAAAATTGATGCCACCGAAATGTAGCTGGTAAGATTTCGTTAAATATTGCTTATAAGTTTCCTTGGACTAAGAATATCATTTAGGATAGGTCATCATCTCAGTCGGATATCACGATTAGCTTACCAACGAAGTGATAAATTAACAATTAACTATTTAAAAGTAAATATCTTAAAGATATTCGTAATTTAGCCAGTATAAGTACTCGTTTGTCGGGTTATTTAAGTCCTTTCCAATACTTCTTTTTCACTGCTAATTCTATATATTCTCTGAGGAACTTGATTTTTTTGAAAGTTAACTACCGGTTACTTCGAGAGATTAGCTTGAGGCTTTTACCAGTCAGTCAAACCCGACGTATAACTTGGTGTGTGTGTACGTTAGTATAAGTTGCCAGGCCCAATTATCATAATACTATCTACTACTATAACAACAGCTTCCTTCTAGTTTTTGTTATCAGTCAAGCTCTCTTATCTGATGAGATTTTAAAGTAAATATAATCAGAATGGTATGATACAGTGTTCTTTCTTGGGTATTATGTAAATGTTGCTACTATAAGTCTTAGTCTGTACTTGTTTCTGTGTTAGTTTTATATTGATACGCTTTTCTGTTCCCGCCCAGACGACTTAATAAAATATTGGATACAGTTAAGATGGTTAAAATCCTATATCCGCTTATGGAGTAAGTTATAAATACTAACTGAATAAATTTCAAAATACAGAATCACTAACTAACTGTAAATATATATAGCACAAATTGGCAACTGTTATTTATGCATAAAATATTTCACCCAAAATGCATCTTTGAGTTACCTGTCAGTTAACGCCTTAAAATCAAGCCTATCGTTTAGGTTCATAATGTAGTCAAGTGGTCCATCGCTTCTGTCCATCTGCAGTCAGTCACGGTGTAGAACCTGGTACGCATGTTCATCGGTTCAAGCTTCCACACCCCATTGGCACAGCGATATAAAGTTGTTAGGGCAAATCCCACAATAGTAGAGGTAGTAACAATATCAGTAGTAATAGAAAACATAAGGCATCGAAGATATATAAATTAGCAAAACACGAAAAATCATAAGGAAGCCTACAATTTGGAGGAGGACAAAGAATGGATGGACCTGCACCATTGCAAACGACTTTGAGCCGTTTCAATAGAAGTATCTAACCCCTGGTTATGATAGTCACACGATCCCTAATCAGATGGCCTATGCTTATTAATATGAGTGAGCCTAGTTGCCAGTGACTTCATCGAATGATGCCATGTTTTGGTTTGGACTCCCCTAACGTTCTCCCATCCTACTCATACACCAGATATCGCCCATCAGGGTAGATGATGGTTGGACAGATTCAACACGTCGCAACCATGTTGGTTGATGAAAATCTACCGCCTCTTCATCCGATTTCCCACCTTCACCTAGTACTATATTCCTGATCTAGACACTCCTTACTCTTTGGTCCCAAAATAAACAAGTAATTCTTCGTAGACAACTATGATTGAATACCATTAACCTACAAATATCCTCTACTCTTAATCTTCATGTTTCACATCCATAAAGTAGAACAGAGTGAACTGGTCCTCTGATTGGCAGACGGATATCTGTCCTGAGCCACAAGTGACGCAATTCGACAGAAGCCGATCAAGCCTTCTGACTCTGTGTCGATATTTGGTCAAACACTAACCCGTCAGAACTGATGAGACTCCGAAGATGAGTAAAGGAGTCGGTACGGTCAACTATGTCATACCGCATCATTAATCCAGGCACTGACGCAGGTCAATTCTGAGGCAAAATTTTGCATTTGGAGGGCGAGAAACGTATCCCAAACGTACTTGCATTGTTGTTTAGTGGTCAGAAGATTGCATTTTGTCAGTGTTTTTACTAAGCAAAACTATATCATGTGCTGTAGCGAAAACATTTCACTACTGTTCATCTGTTTATTAAACTGCTTGTTTAAGTGGCATACTTTATTTTCGATAACAACAATGACTTAGAGTATTTATTGTAATAACCAAATGAAGTGACTCTCGGCTTACTTTCATTTGTGCTAACCTGTTGCATTGTTGTTCTTAAATAACTTACAATTGGTCAGTTTTCTTCATGTTGTAATCAAACTTTGCCGATATATATGAAATAGTACCAAACGTGTTGATCTAGGCTTTTCTCATCGATTTTAATATGTCGTCCGAATAAAAGTACCAGACTTTAACCAACCATATATTTTATTGCTTTAGTGGTGTACTTGCATATTAGTCCTCACAATTATGTTTTACGCATATATTCTAGGGATCACTTTATAATTATCAAAGATAGTGACTAAATTTATATGTATTCAATACCATATCCCGAATCATATGAATAAATATCTAATTGATAGACTAATTATTGAGGAAAAATATATACAACCGCCAAATCATGTTCTCATCCAACTGTAACATTTTTTCTCCATAAATCTTCTGTATTTTTTGCAACACTTTTTTGGAATATTATGTATGTCCATTTGATTTTTTTTAAAAGGAATACAACGCTATCAATAAAATATAGTGTCCACAATTATGTGAGTAAAGTTATGTTAATATATATATCGTATCCTAAAGGCAAGCTGGATTGTGGTAGAATCGTCGAGTAATTAAGTTTACAGTTGGGTGCAGGATACAGCAGCTCACTGCTCGAACACTGATTAACGTACTAGACTTTAATCCATAATTTTGATGTCAGCTGTTGATACTAGCGGGTTGCCGAAATTAGTATGGGTGGAACAGTGGTTCGTACCAAAAACCTAGTTGTTGAAGTCGATTATTTTTGCTGCTGGTCTACTACTTTAGTCTCATAGTACCAGGCTGACATGAGGAAGTCGGTCATTGATGCGGAATTGAACTAACTGAAGACGCTGAGGTAAATACTAGTCGATTTAAATTATTATCTACCTCAGATATACTATCGTGACTTGAGTATGCCTATACTCGAGGACTGTACTTTCTCTAAGTGCGATAACTTGCACTTATACAATTTTACCCTAAGGTACCATGTTTAGTTCATGTGCTTCTTCATTCTCATTGTCATATTTTAGAATGACACGAATATACTGAACAGCTCTCTTGTATGCATTAAACTTATCTTTCGGATACAAAGTCTATTTTGTCTATATCAGTGCCTATTTACCTATTTTCCTTCGTAGATCTTACCACATTTTGTTACCAATACTAATTACACCTAAATGATTGATGAGATTATAAATCTACCAATGTTACATATATCCCTTTACCACTAATTTTTGCTAATTAATATAATTTGTGGCATACATCTTCTATCATTTTAAACCACAGTTAAATACCCAATGATCCTCCTAAAAGTACTGACCGTTCATCATAAACAACTCTAGTTTTCTTTTTGTTTTCGCACTAACATGATATGTAACAGGCTGTTATTTTTCTGTTATCAGTTTTAAAAGATGAGTTTATGTGTTGTTCATTAAGAATCCTGTACAACCTGGTAAGCGTAGGTTTGAACACTTCACCCACTTTCGGAGGGACAGTGGAGTAATGTCTGCTACTATTATCCCGCCAATTTTTCTAACGATAACTTCAAAAACTTGGCTCAGGTGCATGCTAACGATCGATAGCTCACACAACTCTACTTTCTAACTACCAGTCAGAACACTAGAAAAGCCTAGAATATTAACTGAGTACCTTTTGTTGTCGTTTATTATTCAGACCTTAAAACGTGATTATATACATAGAATACAAGATTACGGTAAGTTTTAAACAATTGACCTCAATCTATGCATAACTAGGACACTGATTGCAACAAGATTAGTGGTCAAATTACCATAGTTTATGAACGGTAAAATATATAGTAACAACGATTCATGAGGTAAATGAAAGTTTATGTTTAAGAGATTACAAAAGTATCGTAAGTCATATAATTGATAAACACTAGAAAAATATATCCCGATACCCCAGAGCATAGTTCTCAAAGTTTCACATCCTCACTAATTTGCTTCGTCACCAACCCACATATAGAAAGAAAATTTTCTTCATAGCCCCAAGCTTACGAACTCGTACATGGCTGTTGAGTTATGTCGCTATTGCCACTTCTCCTGAATAACATTCATTATGTTCAGTGTATAAATAGTTGGCAGAATTGATTAGGAATTTGTTTCAATGAGGTCTAGTTATTTGTTCTAATTATTAGAGTTACAGGAATTGCGTGATTAGCTAACAATCTCAATCACTAATTGTTTAATAAAGCTAATCACTTGGTTAGATCGTCAGTTTATATATATATATATATATATATATATATATATATATATATATATATATATATATATATATATACTGGTTTTATGTCAGGCTAAATAACCAAGATGGTTTTACTTGTCATTTGCTCATTGGTAACTGGTCAGGAGACAGACTGCAGCAGTGTCATTTATTTATATATCGAAATATTCAATGAAGTTATGATCATATTCCAATTAATAGATAGCAAGCATGTAAGCAATCAGACTTGAAAATGGAAAGTGCAAAGTGATTGATAGCAATCTAAATTTTGTGATGGACACGTTTATCGCTAACTGATTAATCGATTGCTAGTAATGAACACTGAAATATTTAATGCACAATGTTTCACTTGACTAAAATGGGATGTAATCACTGATGTACTTTTCGTTGTAATACTTTGTCATCTTTTCTATCATCAGTATAAGGTTGTGAAAATTATTAAGTTTTTGATTGAGATCATGAATCGATTGATGTTAGACAACCATTGAAGACTTGGAAGTACTGAACGATCATTTCGTGCTATTGTGGGACTCTTCAGCAGTTCGTATCCACGATCCCGCTTTCGGGATTCGAACCCAGAACCTTCGGTCTCGTGTGCGAACCTCTGGACCACTGAGCTGGAATCCAACGGTGTTAGTGTCTAACCTCAACCAATCCACGAAATTGCACGACTATCTTCACTTGTACTGAGGTAGTGGTCTAACATCAGTCGATTTATGATCTCAATCAAAAACTTTTCTATGGTGTTAAAATGATCAGTATTACTAACCAAGTGGACATATATACGGTCTGTAGATGTTAAATTCATTACAGTCTGATTAGTAAATAAATCTTTAAGAAAACTTGTGTATTTTATCGTATAAAATATTGACTATAATCGTTGCTATAGTTTTAAAATCTCACCTATTTATTGTTTGGTAATTGGTTCACACTATTATAATGTAATAAATTTACTAATTACTCTAATTGTTCATATTAGTTAGTCAGTTAGTTAATAATAAACAAGTGTGTTTCGGGCTCAAATTGGTATATTTCAAATTAGCGCTTAGCAAGAGGAAATCGACAAGCAAGCCAAAGCAATATTTCCAGGGTTAGTAAGGAGATACGGTGTTGTGGTCTCTGAACTGGACTGTTTAGTTGTGAAGCTTTCTCTATCCTTCTGGACGGCACCACCACATGATCCATGAACAACGACCAACCAACTTCCAGATTATTAGAACAAGCTGTTTGTCAATTGCAGTAAAATTCTAAAAGCTCATTTCTCTGTGAAGTATGACTTTATTTGAGACAGAATTAGTCTCCCCGATGAATATACTTATTATTTTAACCTGTAATATGCACCGTCTACTCAAAAATGTTTTTGTTTGTTTTCTATCCAAATATATATCATCTAGTCTACGCAGTGGTGAAATGCATACATTTCTAGCTTCATATCTTGTTCCTGGTGATATTGTCTGTTTATCAGTTGGTGATCGTCTCCCAGCAGATTTAAGACTTTTCGATTTGACCGATTTACGAATGGATGAGTCTAGTTTGACTGGAGAAACTGAAGCCGTTCCCAAATCTTCAGAGGTTCTTTGTACACATTTCCCGATTTCTAATACTTCTGAAGTTAGATTTTCATCAACACAAAATGGTTAGTAATAATGTATACAGAGTAAAATGTTTAATACTTAACTTTCTCACTCTTGTTGCATTTTCTTAGTTGTGTTGTTGTAGGTTGATGATTGAAGCAGACTTTAAGCGCGATTTACCTTTTTCTCGTAACAAGGCTAGGAGTTTAGTAAAATGACTTGGAAGCATGGTTTGACCAATATTGAGTGAATACTGCTGTCAATGATAATTATAAATAATAAGCACAATATATCTTTCTGTCTTCACTCAGCCTCAGATAGATTTTTTTCAAATATAGCTCAGGATGTTTATTAAATCCTATAAAAGAACTCGATCAATCAAAGTCTCACGGAGAACCCTTAATCATTAGGATCATTGGGTCGGCGTTAAGTGGTACTGTTTCCACTCCAGCCAATTTACAACGTGGTGAGACGAGCATCTAATCCTATTTGTGACAACTATTTCACTTCTGATATGTCTAAACTCAACCAGTTATGACTTCTCACTAGAACTTTAGGAGCATCCTGAACTAGGTGACTGTTGGGATGTTTATTATAGTCTAGTTAAAGCTGCTTTGTGGAGATCGATTTTATCTGTACACTGTGTTCGTCACAGATTGATCTTAATTGGGGGTACCATTGCAAAGCAAGGGATACCAAGAGGCTGTTTGAAATTTAACTGAACACACATTCAACCTTTCATCTGGATAAACTCCTTGTAGCTAGGTTGAGTTTCGTTAACTTTTCTAAAGAAAAAACTTTTTTTCCATATGTAATAATGCTTTAGTGAATATAGGCGATAACAAAGCTGTTGAACGTCTACGTGGATGTCATGATCTAATTAATATTGGATTTATGGGAACATTAGTCTGTTCGGGTACTGGAAAAGGTTTGGTTATTGGAACTGGAGAACATTCGGAATTTGGTGAAGTTTTCCGTATGATGCATTCAGAAGAAGTAAGTATTGAAACCTGTACTAAATTCATTATTTTTCTTTGCTATAAATAACAAGTAAATAAATATGTTTATCCATATCAACTCGATTTAGTATTGACAAATAATGTACCACTAGATTTACATACTGATACATTCAACCCACTAAACAAAATAGAACAGAAGCAAACTGGCACCAACCAATCAATAAATATGGGTTTATATCCTAGAACATGTCCAAATTTCCTTCATCGGCGAGCGGTTCACTTTAATACTAATGAAAATTAAATCCACTACGAGGTTTTTAAACAAGTAATAGTTGACGTTCAGATATCTGAAATATAACTTGTCTAGCTTCTTAATAATTTTTCCTTTATTAATTTGAATTCAACATGTTCTTGCCATATCTCTTCACATTATTTCCTCTGTTTCTGTTGCTCATTTTCTATCCTCCTGTTTGTTTTAAGATATTTTAATTTATTACTTTAGTTTTATGAGAATTGTGTGAATATATTTATTTACATCACCATGTTTTAAAACCGCATAAAGTCCTGCACAAGTATTGTTTCGTATAACTCTCAGTTTCTGAGAGCTTTGTTAATGCTAATCTTCAATCTGTTCCATATTTGCTTAAGTGCGTATAACAGACTCCAGAATGTAGTTCAATAAAATACCTTTGGTTCACTTACTACATACTGTTAGTAACCAATCTACTAATAAAACAACCATTACTACGGTTATATCACTAATATGATTGTGATGTCTTCTACTCGAACGCCAGATTTGGTTCCTAAGCTCTTCTAGTAACCCCCAGGCTAAATCTACATAGCAGCTTGAACACGAGAGAAAAGGTGCGAAATATGGAAGAAACACATTATTCCAAAGGTTTTTGTTTATATACAGAAAATCTATGGTTTTTATAGTATTTTTTATGACTTTGGGTTTCTAGAAAATCCTGGAACGCTACTAAGTATAATAGCAGTATAGGTAGTCATCCAATCAGAAATTCAACATGTGACTTTTCACTTTCTGAATGTTTCTGGCAAAATTTCTAGTGAATGCTAATTTGATAAGGTGCTTCTCAGCGTTTTCAAAGCATCTGGTGTCCTCATTAGTCCAATAGCAACATAACATTGACAACTATCAGTAATCGTTAGCTGCATAAATGATCCTCTATTATAGATCCTAAGTCATTTGGCTGCTAATGATTTGAATCATATCAGCTATCACTCAAACAACTATCAGTATTCTTATTGATCACTGAAGTAAGGGACACTTTTTAATCATATCGAAACAATTATTGCCACTTTATGTGTTTATCAAGAGTTTGATAACCCTATTGCAAATTCTTCAAATGGATAGCAAACTTTTCAACATCATACTACTTACTAGTCGTCGTCAATATATGTTTTTCTTGGTAGGTCATCTTTTTAAAAGAAAATCACAGTTTCCCTCTTTAGACCAGTTTAAGAATCAATTATCAAAGTGACAACTACATATTTTTATAAATAAGTTTATTTCGCTGTACCTCTTATCGTTTGATGTTTATTGTTTGTTATTGATTTAATTCCATATTTCGTTTAGGCACCACGTACACCACTTCAGAAGAGTATGGATAAGTTGGGAAAGCATTTATCTGCTATCTCTTTAATTATTATTAGTAGTATAGTGATTATTGGTCTATTTCAAGGACGCCATATTTTAGAATTGTTAACCATTGGCGTAAGGTAAGTGTATCTATTGATTTCGTTATTATTTATTGCATATACATATATGAGATCATACTAAAGGTAACAATAATTCATGCCAAAGTATTTTAACAGAGACAACCACTGATGGAAATAAATCATCTTTCAAGAAAAGTTATGATTATCTTGTCTACATATCAATATACCAGGAATTTACTTAACGGACTTTTTGCTTGAGTAGCTTGTTCATATCGTCAGCTCCCATTTGATGTAATTTAATGTCTAGTGCACCAACTGTTACCCACTGCAGTGAGTGTTAATAACTCATAAAATTTAAATGGTGGTCAAGCTGCTGGTTATCATTATATTAGCCATTTTATTTATTTCCTCCTCTCCATACGATGATTAGTTTCGTAATCACTACACAGTTTAATAATTTTTTCGAAATCTGTACTGTTGAATTGATTTTTGTTTTGTTTACCTGTTTCACTTGTGTCATAACTGTATGACTTAAAAATCTTTTCATATTATAGTATAACAGAGTTGTTCAATTCATTTCATTTTACTAATATATACAGTTTGTTCCATCTTCGGCCGATGTATGTATATTTGTGCTAGATCCTACATTATTTATGAATAATTGACTATTGCTTAGTTCAGTGAGAAAATTATCAGTTTGAATGTCTTGGTCGTAGTAAGGGTTTACGCCCTCAGAATCAAATTTGGACATTTCCAAACAATGATAAGTAACATTTACAACTTTTTCTACTTGCGAGATCAATATGCTCAATTATTTGTGTTATTTCAATATCAAATATGAAAACCCGTGTAAATCTTTAGTTCATCTTCAAACTGTAATGGAACATTACTTTATATTAACAATAATTTAATTCTCACTACTCTTTATTCAAAGTGTTCCTTCCCCTGTCTCTCTATCTCACACACACACAAATCCCTTATAGTTTGGCAGTCGCAGCAATCCCTGAAGGTCTTCCTATTGTAGTAACTGTCACTCTAGCTATTGGCCAAATGCGTATGGCAGCAAGAAATGCGATTGTTAGACGACTTCCAGCTGTTGAAACTCTTGGTAAGCATTAGTTTTTTAGTAACTTTGTGGCTATTTAGATTTCAACATTATGATTATATACACAATAACAATACTTCATTTCACAATAGCTAGTCCTGAAGTTTTTCACAGTATGATTAAGAAACGTTTTTAATAGCACGTTATGGTTAAGCAATACAACCTTCGATTGCCTACTTTTACGAAACAGCCTGAATGGAGTGTCAACATAAACCAACCGACTATGAAAGGAGAAAAAACTATAGCTAATCTAAAACAGGGGAGGTCTGCAGGTTCTGATTGATTAACAGACTATGTGGAGAATATATATTTAAATAAGAAAGATTAGTTCAGCAAAGAGTTCTCTTTTCGGCGAATTCAGTTTCAAAGCTGTACAATCACAGATATATATACTTATTTTTACAGGATGATAATAATACTGATAATAAACTTCTGTTATACATGGTGACAGTGAGGTTAAATAGACAAAGGTATTAAAAAATATTTTAAAACAAGGAAAGTTTAATAATCGTTTGATTGTTAATGGCTTAAGTATTCATCAAAATATAGATAGGGAAATTATCGTTGGGAAAGGATGGCTCAGCATGATAAGATAAAACGGTGAAATAGAGATGAAATGTAGTCGGAATGATCGTGGAAATAATCTTTCTTATTTAATGTCTTAATGGGTGTATTCCGTTTACTAAAAAATTCCAGGGACCCTTTGACAGTAAAGGAACTTATCTTATCATGCTGAGCCATCCTTTCCCAACGATAATTTCCCTATCTATATTTTGATGAATACTTAAGCCATTAACAATCAAACGATTATTAAACTTTCCTTGTTTTAAAATATTTTTTAATACCTTTGTCTATTTAACCTCACTGTCACCATGTATAACAGAAGTTTATTATCAGTATTATTATCATCCTGTAAAAATAAGTATATATATCTGTGATTGTACAGCTTTGAAACTGAATTCGCCGAAAAGAGAACTCTTTGCTGAACTAATCTTTTTTATTCAATGTCTTAATGGGTGTATTTCGTTTACTAATATATATTTAGTTTACGTACTGAAGCAAAATCAATCTACCGTAATATTATCGTCATTCTGTTTGCTGAATTATCTTACAGCATATAATAAAACTAGCAATAATAGTCATGCGAACGACAAATGTTGTTTAAAAGTTATATTTTAAATTCTTAGAATAAAATAAAGCATCAAGACGTTCGAATCATTAAAATCAACTTCAAATTATGGTATTTCGTCTTTCAAAATTAGTTTACTTCGGTTATTTTCGTATGCAATCCTTGGTAATTTGCTCCTTGTAACACGTTTTAATCACCGCAGTCAATCTTCCAGAATAAATCACCGCCGTTTAAAAGAGTCAACCTTTAACAATATTATGGTCTCTTGATAACGTGAATGTAACTTTTTATATTTCAGACCTTCGTTAGCCATATCTTAGCCGTTTGGTAACGTTAACTCATAACTGACAAACTGTTTGTATAATCTTTTTATCAATGTAAAGTACAGTGTTATTTATCCTTAGGTCATCTTTGAAAGTATTGCTAAGAAAAATTGATGTAATAATACATTGGCTTAAATAATAAAACACCATGAAATGATTCAACTAACATTTACCAAAATGCATTATCTGAATCCAGTAATAATAACAACAAGCAAGTATAAAGTCCATTACATCAGCAAAATTACAATTCTTTATATACCTTTTTAGCTAAACGAAAAATTACCGTGAGAAAGCAGCTGAATATATTAGTATGGGTTGATCTGTTCATCAGTAGGGTGTAACTGTAATCTTGCGGGTTTCGAACCCATCTCTGAGACGTTATCATTGGGCTATTCAGGCCGCGAATGAATTTCAACCTTATTTCTAAACTTAAATGAAATAAAACACGTTTAAAAAATACTTTTCTATACTTGTTTGTCTTATTCAGGTTGTGTAAATGTAGTTTGTTCAGATAAAACTGGAACCATGACGAAGAATGAAATGACTGTATCACATATAGTTACTGGTTCATTAGAAAGATACACAATTCCTATTCAACAAGCCAATAAACACAGTGATACTACTTGTGTAAAGTTAGATATGAATTATGCCAATCCTTCTAATTATTTGACTGTAACTTCTGCTGCCACTCCTACTGCAACCATTAAACTAGATAGCGTTTCACTATCAAATAAATTAATGTCAAATCATATCAATCCTCATTATCAGATGTCAGCAAATGCTAGATCAGTTTCGTTTGATGAATTACGTACACCATATTATTATCCACCATCTTTGGATAGCATAATACAGGTAAGGTTGTAAGATCTGACCTAGTCAATCACTTGTATTCTTAAATATGTTTCTAATTAGAAGTTGTACAGATTTTTATTTTATTTAAAAAAGCACTTAATTTGATTTCAGATAGTCTATTCAATTATTTCATGTGTAAATATGTTCAGTTATCGGTCTTTTTTCTCTTTGTTCTCTTAAGGAAACTTGTTGAAATACTTTATGATGAAAATTCCGTTTTGTGCGAAGCATATAATATTGAATAAAGTCATTAATAATAATAGTCATATCAATGTACCTTACTTGTTTGCTCTTTTCTCATCGCCATCTCTAGTTCACTTAGTTCATGGTATTTAGAAATATGTACTTACTTCATCTAAACAAAAGCCTGCACATTTTTCTCTTCGTATATCTGTGTAGAAATGATTTAATGCAACCAATTTAACCGCTTATCGTTTCATTATTTTGTTTCAATCAACGTTATCTGTTATCACACAAGTTGATCCATATTCCAGTAGTAGTAGTTGTCGTTGTTGTGCTGTTTTCTACATTTTTGCACTCATCATTCTTATTTGCAAAATAAATTTATTCAAGCACAAATTATGTTCAAGATTTGCAAGTTAGTTTTCAATCATAAACTATGATTAACTCACGTTTTTTCAAACAGGAAACGTATATTTTTCTACACAAATAAATCTATCTATCAATCTCTGCAAACTGATGTCATGTTTTCATAAGAACGCCTTCAACCTTTTTTTCAACCTGATTCAGTGTAAGCAAATGAATCTTGTAGTTGATTGTAGCCCAGGGGTTCATTGATATTGTTTAAAGATACTACTTGATTTTATTTTGGATAGTGTCCGATAGTGGAATTCGTGTCACTCTTTTCATTCTGTTATGAACTTGTCAGCTGGATATTAACAACAGAAAAATACATACCTTCACACCTACCGGTAATTACCACCCTCGATGAACATTTTAGTGGTTATCTCAACACAGATATCTAATAAAAAACACTGTGGAGTTTGTAACTCTAGTTATTATTTTCGAGTCTCATTTTTTGTATTAACACGGATTAATGTACATTTGGGTGACAAATCTCAAATAGAACAGCGACGAATTCCTGAATTTTGCTATTATCCACTATTTTAGATGTAAACAGATTTTTCTGGTTTGCCAGATGTGCTAGCATGTTAGTTTATAATATAATCAAACGACATGAAACCTGACAGATTTCTTCTGTACTGTATTCTTTGTTTACTATTTACAGGACCTAATATTTTGACACGGATTTCAAATAATTTTGGTACACAGTGTTTGTTTTTGTCTTTTTTTCTCTTTTAGATTGGTTGTATTTGTAATAATGCTACAATTCGAAATAATCAGTTATTCGGTCAACCCACAGAAGGTGCACTATTAAGACTGGCCTCCCAAGTATGTTACTTTGCTCATTTATTTTGGTAAATTCACTCCAAATATTCCTCTTTTTTAGTCATTGTGGTCATTCTATCGATAGTCTTTTTAAGTATTGTTTACTGAAATACAAAAGGTAAACTAATCAAAGGTCAAAATGGAATCCGACAATTCTTTGTCTCAGCTTGTAACTCGTCAATAATTAAGCAATTATGATATCGAATGGGGATTGGGATTGGTATTTCACAGTATACAGAATATACTGTCCAACCTTATGCATAGAAATGCTATAATTCGTTCCCAAGAACTTGAGTCAATTATTTCCAATAGTTCTCCCATTGATTTCAGTCAGTATGTCGATGAGAACCGTTTATCAACATTCATTAAGAAAATATTTTTATGATTAAGAACTATGGAGTTTCATCGCAGTCGATTTTGCATAATTTACTGACTACAAATGACATAAATCAAGAATGAATTTGTTGGTATCAGATTTCATAAAACAAATCAGTCAATCTTAATCAGTTTTGAGTCTGGTCTTGTTATAGTCCAAAGCCGATAATCAGAAGCAGCGAATTATCGATCGGACCAAGGACGCGTAAAACACGTGCGAGCAGCCTAGAGACCTGATTAGTCCTGCTTTCCACCTAGCCCAGCCAGTTAAGTCCAGAACACCAGTCTCAGCCTCTGCAATATGAATCATTTATTTGAAACATATTCTGTTTATATACCAATCAAGAAGACCACATCGCACCATAAAACAGCCAAATGTCGCTGTGAATGTGGGAGGTAGTGATTAAGAGACAGGGAGTAATTCGAGAATGGAAAATTGTATAATAACAGTTCATAGGTTAAAACAAAGCTTATTATAAGAGAGACATGAATATGAATATTTTATACGAATATTCGTCAAGATTAGAACGAATAGTTTGACAGAAATTGAGCGCCGAGTATAGAAAAGTCATCATATGTGAAAATTATATTTGAAATAATCTCATCGATTGGAATTTAAATAAATCCAACGTTTCGTCCAGCTAACTTGTCTGGACTTCTTCAGGGTAATAATCAAAATCATCAAAGAGATATATAATCTTTTAGCAATCATAATGATACTGTGTTAAACCAATCAAATTTGGGTGTTGGTTTTTGTAAAATAGAATGAAATGAGTCAGTTAACTGCAAATCATGTGAAAAAAGTTCAACTACATGTAAATAATTAACTGAATAACAAAATTGTATGTGTGTGAGTATGTATGTATGAGATCAATTATTGATGTTCTGTGTTGATATGACGGAATAAATAAAAGTGCAAGTTCAAGCCTGAACCGAAAAGATGGTATTCAACTGACGACTACCTGGAAAATTTCGTTTGACAAGTAATTTGAAACCCTATCTTTATTCAACCTGTTTATTTCACATGCATCGTTATTTTGACTGAATTCAATGAATTTTTTAACAATACAATTCGGTATATGTTTGACATGTATATCGATGATTCATTAACAATTTTATCAGTTTAAGTAAATGATTTCGTCGAAAAGAAAAAAATTTTCTTCGCTGAATTCTCTTTTTCTTATTCAATTTTATCAACCTTGAACTTGCACTTTTATTTATTTATTCCTTCATATCAACACAGAACATCAATAATTAATCTCATACATACATACATACATACTCACACACATACAATTTTGTTATTCAGTTAATTATTTACATTTCACTGACTCATGATTTCAATCTGTGAAATTTCTAAAATCTCCACAAAACCCATTCTGATAATAATCAACTGCTCACTAGTGACTGACTTCAGGAAAACTCCCGAAGTTCTAGTGAGAAGCCGTTACTAGTGGAGTTCAACCAGGTCTGTTGTGAGATAGGAACTCACTGAAGACAATGGTGTACGGTGGTGCAATTTCGTGAATTGGTTGAAGTTAGACATTAACACCGTTGGATGCCGGCTCAGTGGTTAAGTGCTCGCGCGCGAAGCCAGTAGGTCCTGGGTTCGAGGCCTGAGTGGTGCGGGGTCGTGGATGCGCACTGCCGAGGAGTCCCATACTAGGACGAAACGGCCTTCCAGTGCTTCCAGGTTTTAAATGGTGGTCTAGCTTCAACTGACTCATGATTTCAATCTGCAAATTTCTAAAAATCTCCACAAAACACATTCTGATAAAAGACTATATTTCTTTGATGATTTTGATTTTGATTATTACCCTGAAGAAGTCCAGACAAGTTAGCTGGACGAAACGTTGGATTTATTTAAATTCCAATCGATGAGATTATTTCAAATATAATTTTCACATATAATGGATATGAATAGTTTAGTTAATTAACAATTATACGACAAAAATATACGCACAGTATTGGTCCATAAATAGATTCCAAAAGATTACCACACATTATTCTTATCGGGACACAACAGGTAAAAATAAGCTGTAGCTCAAGAAGCCAAACCTAATAAGCACTGCCAGATGAAATTAACAAGATAAATTGTGAGAGAATCGAAATAATTTAATGTCAATGACAATCAAAAATTACTGAACATTAAGAATATGATTCAGAAAGGTGAAGTAAAAGGGTATATATTCAGGAATACTGGAACTCAAGATGTACAGGAAGATAATGAGTGGATTCATCTATGCCATTGTGGTTGGCTGTTGACTATGTCACTGAAAGTCTCCAACTACCGATCGCGGTTATCGCGCATAACTTAACGAGGTAGTCTTCATTTACTCAAATAGCTTAAACCAATATTTAATAACTCCTCAAACGGCTACTATATTTTATATCTCCTAGCTTTCTTCCAACTTCCAAATATATCAGCTAACGATGAGCGTTGAAGTAGGCTGTATTTTGGAATAATTAACGCACGTCCTGATCACCTCAGTCGTTGAAAATTTACAGCCTTTTCGACCGATTTGGTATCGTTTAGTTCTTGTTAAGAGTTTAAAGTCGACAATTGGGTGGTTACATAACTAAAAGAGCATTCAAATTCATAGCTGTTTTGACGTTATTTCTTCATGATAATTTGTTCTTATTTGTCATAATATGTAATTCCTTGTCTTTCATATACATCTTGTTGATAATTTTTTCTTCAAAAATAGTTTCATGCATTAGATGAACGTGCATTTTATACTCGTTTACAAGAATGGCCATTTAGTTCCGAGTCAAAACTTATGATTGTTAAATGTGTTCGAAATAATCAATCATCGGTAAGACATGAGTATCATTAAATTAATTTGAGTGTTTTTTTTCCATCAAAACGAATCAAAAATAGTCTCTTTTGTAATATGGATTTTATTTGTCGATGATATATATATCGTATTTAATGTATTACCAAAAAAATATAATCATAAGAAACCAGAAAGCATTGGATTCTAGTGTGGAACTCTTCAGGATTGATGGTTGTGTAAATATCACAAGTCATTCAAGATTAGAAAGCTGAACCATCGAATATTTTACGGTTCGGGATGCCTGATTAAGCTAAAAGATGTATTCTCTTTCTTTACGCTTATTCAAGCAGCTGTTCAATTGGGATGACTAGTAATATGTTATTAACAAACTGATTAAATATGTACAGAAATCATTGGTATATATATATATATATATATATGATTCTGACTGAAACGATGACATGCAGTTTAAGACTTTGATTGAGAGCATGATTAACTTCTCCCAATAACGTGTCTCATTTATAATTTCTCATCTACAATGTGACCGTGAAACGGTATGTGGGTGCATGCATGTGATGTACCTAAAATATTGGCCTGTCAGAATATCAACCTAGAATAATTATAAAATAATTCTGTTTCATTCGTGAATTGATGCATCAACTAAAGAATCATAGAAGATGAGATAGCTCTAGACCTTCATGTCCTTTCTAGCTTTGAACTCCTTATAAGTCTGAACCCTTATGAGATCGAATCCAGGATATTGTGATCCTACTATGGGTATGAAACCTGTAAACCTTCAGTTCAAATCGGAATAGTCCCCTTTTTTAAATTCACTCATTTTGCAATATCTGCATTGATAGTCCATTGATACGCCTAATTTGAGATATAATTGCAGTTTGTTAGTTACGGATCCTCAGTAAAATCCATCTGAGAAGTAATCGACATTGAGAATATGCGTTGTCCGTTATCTGTTTATAATACCAATGTGCAAGCTTCCTATACACGACCCTAGCCGGTTATTTGAGCGAGAAGAAAGCTTATTAGGCTAAATCGAATGTATATAATAAGAGCGTGAATTTAAGACAATCTGATAATCGTAACAAGAAGTTCATAGTGTCAGGTTTCGAACGTTTCACACTAATAACTTAAAACCGAAACTTTGCTGCAATACTACATAACATTGCACAAAATTTCATAACTTTTCATATTTTTGAAGTGGAAATACAGTTCCTTTGCACTAGCTTTTCTCTCACTTCATAATATAAACTAATTCTGTGTTTGTTCATCTAGCCGAAAATACTTAATTAACGCCCTGACACAGTTTTCATTTGTATCTGACTTATATTTTCATTTAAGTGTTTATTTAGTCACTGTATTTGTATTCATTTTTTTTCACAGACTCCTGATGAACCAGTCTACTTTGCTAAAGGAGCTGTAGACCAATTGCTTAATCGTTGTGCCTTTACATCTTTTTCAAACGATTCTGCAATTTCAATGCAATCATCACCATCTGATGGTCATCCATATATGTTATCGAATCGTTATTCTAATAATAGTTCTATAAAGCCAATGGATTTAGAGACTAGAAAAGCAATACTTAATGAAGCATCCATACTTGGTAACTTAGGTTTACGTGTATTAGCATTGGCTAAAGGTGTTAATTCTGAACAGATGATTTTCCATGGATTAGTTGGTTTAATTGATCCACCACGTCCGGGTGTAACTGAGTGCATTCGAATATTAAATGAATCTGGTGTTCGCGTGATTATGATAACTGGTGATGCTAAAGAAACTGCATGTACAATTGGTGAGTACTGGTAATATAGTAATTGATTTAACGTTTTGCTGTTTATGTTTATACGAAATGTGATGATATACTTTGAAGTATTCTGTTTGTTGATCGATTTCGAACTGCAATCATCATTGTTAAGTTTGGTTTGTATTTATCGTTAATTTCCACTGTATTAGTAAGCAATTCTCAATAAATAAAAATATAATGAATACATTATTAGTATCACTTTATCGTCAGGGCTAACTGAATTCTTTCCAACACTTCCTCAATTTGTTCATCAGATCAATATTGATTCAGCGACAACAATACACACTGTACTTTGTTCCTCATCACATAAGAGTTATTAGTAAGCATCACTGATTCTGAGTTTTGTACATGTTCAAGGTTAAACCTACCTTTCTGTAGTGTTATCCATCATCTTAATATTTATAAGTATTTATTTGAGATAACCTTTTTTTAATTGTTTTCACTGTGGTCATTAATTTTACAAATATAATATTAATTGTGTGACACAAATTCTGTACAATATAGATATTAAGCATTGTGCATCACATAAATTAATGTAATAAATATTAATAGATTTTACTATCAAGATTTCACATTAATGATAAAAATAAGTCACTTTTGAGGTAAATAGTGACTAATTAAAATCGACTTTTAGAAATTTTAAAATTAATAATTGGGATAAATAAAATTAGGTAACACAGGTTAAGAAGAATGGTAATAGTAATGTCATCACATCAGAGTCATTTGTATTTAAGGGTAACCGCGACAGATTCAGTTACCCTCTAATACTACATACTCTTATATTTTTTGTGCACAAAGAATTACTAGATATGTGTCGAAAGAGAACGTTATATTTGTGCAAGGAGAAAACTAGGCACCAACGAAATGGCTTACCTGATTAAATGATGAGTATGCAAGGTGAAATTCTAGATGAAATCGACCCTTGTATATATACCTTCAGTCAGTTTAGCCTCTTAAACTAACGAAGTTGGTACCAATACTTACTGAAATATTTATTCTGAAGAATCATTTAGTGCTACATTTACAAGAGGTTACGTGAATCTGGAATAATATTAATCTAGTAAGATATAATAAAAATGAAATAGGATCCAGTTTCCTCATTAGCATAATCGTATCAGATGTACCCATTAGGCTATCTAATGAATAATCTGAAAACATAATCCTTTTCTAATACTAAAATGCAAAATGATACTTCTTAGTATCAGATCTCCACCTATCTGCATCTCGAATTGTAAACTAGCAGCTATCCGTTAATATTGTTCCATCCCTACATCGGATTGTAACTCAACGGTTGAATTATTTTATTTTCAACCTCTGATCTTTCAAGAGGGCTAGGTCATATCCTTCTCCCTTATTAATTGTGTTTTGATACTGAATGCAACAAGTCATATTTGTCTCTTCATAGAATAGGATATTCTCTACATTTCCGTTGCTCAGTGCATACCAGTGACTGGACACCGTACTATTTTGGGGAGTCTACATGAAAATCCAATCATGATCAATTGTCATAGTGAAAAAACTTGCCTTTCACTAGGTCTCATAAACGTTGATTACGTTTGGATCATTCTTGTTCCGAAAAATCTCTCCCTCGTAACAATATAAATATTGTCTAGATTCGAATGTAGTATACTAATTCCTTTTATTGTTATAGTTCAATATTTGTTTGTAAAATTGTTCGTTTATACTTGTGTTTTCTGTCGATATTGATTTTATTAATTTAGGCTCTCGTTTATCTCTTTATCGTCCTGGTGATCTATGCCTCAGTGGTGAAGAAGTAGAAAGAATAAGCGTTGAACAATTAATGTCAGTTGTACGTAATGTTACTGTGTTTTATCGATCCGGACCGAAACATAAGTGCAAAATCGTCAAGGTAATTAATTACCCAATAATTTACAAAACGTACATCATATTAAGTATTTTCCTGTTTTTAGTCGGTATTTCTTTATTTTCGCATTGTATGTGAATGAAATAACTAATCAGCATTATTCAGATTATCTTTCACGTATGTAGACTGTGTTTTGGTCAGTATCCAGCGGATAAAATCCAATATGCAGGTTTCCCCAGCACATATGACTGGTCTGTCGATGTTTATCTGAATCTGTGTTGATTTTCCCATAGAAATTTGAACCTCTCTCCTTTTCAGGATGATCAATTAGAGAGTACCAAGACTCGTAATCCAAATGATTTTTCTTTTAATAAGGTCCGAAAAGTGGAAATCTCACATGATATGTTTTTGAACTGGTCACGGTGTAAATCTATTCAGATGTTATCTTTTGTGCTATTCCCGAACGTTTTATGTTCATGGTTTGCTTGATCAGTGAACAATAGTTGAGTCAGTTGCCCGATCATAAGCGACAAAGTAGCTAACGCATCGGTTTAAGTTGCCATGCAATGTCACAACGAGATGAACCTCAGAACACTAGGAGTAGTAACAGTATTAATGGTAGTAAAGATCTGGGATAGGCAGAATGAATTCGTGGAATAGAAAAGTGTAATATAATTTTAAAATTCAAGGGAAGACTAGTGAGGTGATTTGTCCTATTACGACCAATTCTGAGCCATGCCAAATATTGTGTTATTTATCTATTCCCCTTTAGTCCCATTTTGTATATTTTATTTTTCAACTCATACAGCAGCTTGCTCATGGTGCAAATATTGTTTTATCTAAGCTACCTCAATTCACTGACTGGTTGAAATTTGAAAGATACCACCAAATACAAGTTTCAAACCAGCCTTCGTGAAACGACGTTTACTATTCAAACTGGCATTCCTCGACGTTCGCATACTAATGCAGACCGAACAAAAAATAGGGTTTGGTATGTCTTTAGAAAGTCTCAACATCTATATCTGTAGTCTATCCAAGGCTCGTATTCATGACTAGTGAAGTATCACAAATTCGCTCTCCTCTGTAGATTCGAAAGGCTTGTTCTGTGTCTACTTGTCCGGGGATCCTGTGGCACCTTCATCTGGCTTTGGTGTCGCACTAAGCTTTAGAGCTGAGGTAACACTGATCGGTTGGATCTCCATTAACAGTCGATTATGTACTTTTAGATTAGAAAGCCCCATCAAACAACGAAGAAATCGGTGTGAGAAACGATTTCTTTGTGTTATCTGCGTCTACGTCCCGACAGATTGTAGCCTGGATGAGTCTTACCACCAGTTAACCGTTTTTTTTTACACAAAGTGCGTCCGGCAGATATTGTAGTACTAGTCGGAGATTTGAATGAGCAGATTAGGTGGTCTATCGGGACTCACTGGTCGCAGATTGGATAACGGTGAGAGACTGTTGTAACATTTCAAATGGGACGGAATTTGTACTCATTAATTAAATTATATACAACATTCAGACACTTTACAAGCTTACTAACTCTTTCAATACTAATCTTGTAAACAACTTGTTTGTAGAATTTAACATATGAATATAATTTTATAAGGACATAACACTGTAGTTTACGAACTCAAGATAATCATTCTTGATGAACTGTCTTGAGTAACAAATCTGATAAAATCGGTGATGTATTAAAACAAATAAATGGAAGGGATTTGTTGAACATGTTATTTAGTTCGATATTATAGGAAATAGTGTTTGTGTTCGGGTGTCTGCTCTGTTTTAAAATGTAGTTTCTCAAACTACTGTACTTTTACACAAGATTATGCTTTAGTTTTCCGTATTATGTTTTGATTTATCCGATTCGTGTATATTAGTTTACATCACGGACTGATTAACTCGATAATCGTCGAAAACCAGAAAGCACTAAATAGCTGCTTCCAGCTAGTATGAAACTCATCACCAATATGCATTTGCAACCCTTCCAGGATTTCCACTTTAAGGGCTTTCTAACTAGCTTATTTAAATAATCTTAAATATGAAACTCGAATTCTCGATAGCAATTGATAGTAGTTGCACAATATCAGAAATTGACTGGAGTTCGAAGTGTGAGCCACTGCATAGCAACTCACTGAATTTAAAGTCGTACTGGTCTCTTGACATTTTGAGTTTGACTCTTGGTGACCTCTTGTATCCCCACCGCTTAGGAGAACCCTCGTACTTGGACGAAACTTGTCCAATGCTTCTTTGTTTTCAAATAGTTGTCCAGCTAAATTCACTGCCTAATGTAAATTACAAATTTATGGTTCTCGACAAACTACACTAATGATTTTTCTGTCCATGATATCAAAATAACACTCAAATCTACGTTTATCGTCAAAATTTTGATCTCTAACTTGTTTTTAACCTTAAAAAATCATTTTATAACTCTAAATTGTCTAATCTATAATTCATCTTTTCTCGCCTATAAGGCTCTACAACAATCCAATTTAGTTGTCGCAATGACTGGTGATGGTGTGAATGATGCAATCGCATTAAAGTCATCAGATATCGGTATTGCAATGGGTCGTACAGGAACAGATGTATGTCGTGAAGCTGCTGATATTGTTTTATTAGACGATAATTTTGCCACAATTTTAGCTGCGATGGAAGAAGGCAAAGCATTATTTCATAATATTAAAAATTTCATCGGCTTTCAATTAAGCACGTAAGTTGGTCGGTGGGTGCACAAATAATTTCTTTCTTTCATTTGTTCTTCATTCCTACTACTTAGCAGTTGAATGAGTACTTCTTTGGGTTTGGTGATTTTTCTGTTTACAAGTAATCATTCTTTGATTTTCTTTATAAAAAAATGAATATTAATAGACAAACCCGGTAAAAATTATGCCGGCTTATAAAAATGTTATGTATAATTCACACTCATTAGAAATTTACTTTATGGTTAGAAATAACTCAACAATTTGCTTGCATTTGTTGGTTAAAGCAATTAACCAATATATTTTGAAAATGCCATACTACATTAAACTATTTATAGATTAAAGCTAGCTACTGTCAGTTTAACGCATTTAAATATGACCTATAAAACGGATGTTTAAAGTGATATGCATTTCATCATTATTTTTTATGTCGCTTCAATCAGTAGTTGGTGAACATACTAGTCTTCACCTACCATCTTGCTTTGTTGCTCGCATCGGTATACTAGTCATGTTCCATCGCAATAACTGTCAGGTAGCAGTTATTCCGCAGTCATAACAAACGGCTGTACTGTTTTTGGTATCACCATTATATCACAACAATTGGCTAACTATTAATTAGAACACGAGTATGTTCTCGTAAATCATCCTATAACGGATCGTTATAAAATAATCGAGAGTATGAATAATTTATGAAAATAAGGGGATTCGTTTTTTAACCAAAAATGATGTGAATTATTCTATTTTGTTTACGGGTACCACATTTTGTGCTTATCCTGTTATAGAGAATGATCTAAATATGTTTGTGCTAGTTGATTATGTCATGAACTCACCGTAGATTATTTCATTATTCTCTTTTTTTGTAAAATTGTTCACTCAAGGGTTCTGTTACTTAACAACCCATGTATATCATTGTAAGCTTAATCTTGACAGATAAATAATTTACCGTAGTAACCAACTGTAGAAGGAACTGTAACTTTAGTATAATTTCAAAAAAGATTTACCAACCTTACAGACTGCTCATGTTATATACTCAAATTCTTACCTGGCCGTTTAAATGTTTAAAACATGTGACATTCACCCTTGATAGTTTTACATACTAACCCTCATTATTCCCATTAAGAAATTTTTTGCTTAGCGTCATGTATATATTTTTTCGGTAACACGTCATTCCATAACTTATTTTTACAGGTCTATAGCTGCTCTAGCCTTAATTGCTTTATCCACATTACTTTCACTTCCAAGTCCATTGAATGCTATGCAAATTCTTTTTATTAATATACTAATGGATGGTCCACCTGCTCAAAGTCTAGGCGTAGAGCCACCAGATCCTCACGTGAGTTCCGTTCATTACTCCTATTTTTAAAATTAAAAAAACCTATGACATTCATACTCTAATCCTCTCTAATTTTATACAGATGGATAGATAGGTAGATAAGACTCGTATTTGGTAGTTGGAGCTGGTCAATAAGAAACCATGAACTTCGTGCTAGGCTTCTCTCACCACTAAAGTGTACCTGCAATCTTGAACTAGCTCATACATATTAAGTGAAAGAATGTTCACCGTCAAAACAATTTGGCTTAATTAACCAGCGAACAATCTCGAGTAATTTTTATTATGTGATTATACACGCACAGCTTGTATCTACTCATACTTTGGTTGTTACTCCATTTAGATTCCTTCTGGTAGGTTGAAAATTGGATAGTATTGCTATTGCCTACACAGACCAATATAGTTTGAAACCAAGTCCATAAAATTGTACTGGATAAGTAATTTAAAATAAGCTTTTAAAATCTGTCAACTAGGTTTACTGACTTTTGTTTGACCAATAATTAATTGTCATTGAATGCTTCTGTATTGTGAATATAATTATTTTTTTTATTGCATCATTTTTGTCATCTTGTCTGTTTTCTTCTGGTAATGTAGGTAGTTAGACAACCTCCCAGACGAGCAAATGATTCTATTTTGGATGGTCGTTTAATGTTCAATGTATTGACAGCTTCATCACTAATTGTCTCTGGTACTTTATGGATTTTCTTTAGAGAATTGTCTGATAATAAAGTTACACCACATGATACAACTATGACTTTTACATGTTTCGTTTTATTTGATATGTTCAACGCATTAAGTTTTCGATCACAGGTAATAATAATAATAATCTTTATTATCAATATTATTATTATTTCTTTGTTGTATTCATTAGGATTTGTTTTAAGAAGGAATAATCAGTACTGTCCGTAGGCTACCGAATTTTCATATTTATGGTTTGTTTAATAATCGAAGGAACTAATCTAAGACAATTGTTAGTTATGAACATAGATAAACAAATAAGCAGTCCTATTGTTCTGAATCCTCACTTCCTTTATTTAGTCTGACTTTGATGGTCCATCTTTATTCAGTAGCTACTAACTTCTGAAAGTTGTAATTTCCGTATAAGTACACAGATGCTCGATAATTACGTGACAACACCCCTCACATTCGGAAGCGATTTTCCACTAGTTTCTGGTCTATGATTCTACCATAACATCAGATCATCCATTATACGCATCAAACCTGACAGTTTTCGTGAAGTAAAAAATATGTTATGTGGTAACTAAGAAAAGTGAAATGATGAAGCAGCTAAGAAACCTAACTCCTTAAGATTCCTAAAAGTGTTTTAATAATAGAAATGGAGATGAAGTAAATATATTACTACAAATGAGGATTAATTTTCAGACGATAAGGTCGATGCATCTTAAATTGTGAGATACAGTTCTAAAGACCCCAGTTCACATATATTGGGCGGATTATGTATCTGTTGTCCGTTAATACAAACAGACAATAGATGCATTTGATCTGCCTCTTAACTTATTATGCTACATAAACTGTTGGTAATAAGTTCAAATCCTCAATGATTAAAGCTATCAACTTTCAATTACTGGGTTCCAAACCTACTTCGGTTCCCGTCACCGAAGTTAATATCACTAACTCTGATACATACAAAATTGTAACCGAATATTAAAAATTGAAATTGGTTACCAAATTGTTTTGATTTCTTTAACAGATTCCAAGATACCACTGTTAGAAACAACCTTGACACTATTGACTACCGTTACTATATAAATATAATTATCATCTTTATTCTATCCAATATGAAAAACAATTTTACTAATGCAAAAGTTACTGATTTTTCCACAGGAGGATTATAAAACTTGTATATTATATTTTATCATGAACCTTCATATGACAAAGCAGTGCACCTCATCCCCCTAATTCATGAATACTTCCACGGAATCATTTAGTCTCATATTTACACAACATTACCCTTTACTCCTTATCGGATGTATAATACAATCTGTTGGTAAATTTCACTTGCTACGTTCAGCTTTGTATGCTTCCCTATAACCCATATTATTTGTGTATGGATCACTAATACTAACCAGCTAGCCAAACCGTAGTAGATCGAACTGATTTCAAATTTAACAGTCAGTAATTGAAAATCAATAACTGTAGCTGTCAAGTTACCCCTTCTCATGTCACTTTTTTTATAGAATAAATCGATCTTCTCATTGGGATTTTTCTCTAACCGTCTGTTTGTACTAGCTGTTGGGTTGTCTTTATTTGGTCAGTTATTGGTAATATATTTCCCACCATTGCAAGCTGTCTTTCAAACTGAAGCATTGACATTAAAAGGTAAATGGTTGTGTTTTTTCTTCTATATACTTCATATGATTATTTCATTCAGTCAGTCAGCCAGCTACAACGTAGGACCAGGCACATATATGCATCGGTCCAGGTTTCCATACCTCATTAGCACAGCAAGATGAACACCGGATTCATAGGAGTGGTTAGGTTAAAGGTGGTAATATATAGGAGAAAGATTGCATATAAGGATACAGTACAGGAATATAGAATTAGTTCTTAGAAAGAAAGATATGAAGCGATTTTAATCTCTTAGTTTAAGGGAAGTCAGGGAGTGTATACACCGACGCCATTGTGACCGATTCTGAGCCATGTCACCAAGAGTCTCCAACCATTGGTTACGAAAGTCACGCGGACCTCAACCAAGTAGTCTGAATCTACCAACATGGCTCAGACTAGAGGTTAGTGTCTTCAAGCACTGATGCCACGTTTTGGTTTGGCCGCCCCTAATTCTCTTCCAACCATCTCTAACACCCGTTAGCATTGCACGACGTGGTAATCGGTGTTCAGGCATACGTAACACGTGGCCCAACCATCTCAGTCGATGAAGATTAACGACCTCATCAACTGATTTACCATCATTACCTAATACCCTGAGTCTAACCTCACTATTACTTAGCCGGTGATCCCAACAGACGCCAGCAATATTTCTAAGGCATCTGTGGTCAAATACTAGTAGCTTACGAGTGTCTTCTACTCTTAATGGCCATGTTTCGCTGCCGTAAAGTAAGACAGAACGGACTGCCGCGCAGTATACTCGTCCTTTTATTGATAGACGGATATCTCGCCTTCGCCACAGGTGACGTAAGTTGGCAAAAGCCAAACGAGCTTTTCGAATCCGTGCTGAGATTTCGTCCGATACCAACCCATTAGGGCTGATCAGACTTCCAAGATAAGTGAAGTTGTCAACGCGTTCGACCACTTCACTCCCTATCCTTAGTTCAGGTGTTGACGCAGGCCAGTCGTGAAGCAACAACTTGCATTTAGAGGGAGAGAAGCGCATTCCAAACATTCTGGCATTGTTGCTTAGTGCTACCAAAAGACTCTGCATTTTATCAGCGTCTTCACCAAACAGGACTATATCATCTGCGTATTCCAAGTCGATAAGTGGACCTCCTGGAAGGAGATCAATACCCGAGAACTCAGTCGACGAGAAAGTTAAACAAAAATGGAGAAAATGGACAGCCTTGACGGACGCCACTTGAGGTTGCAAAAGTAGATGACAGTTCGCCATAAGCTCTGACTCGACTAGTAGTGTTCGAGTAAAGAGCCTTCACAAGGTTTATGTACTTCTGAGGTACGCCTTTCAATGACAGACACTGCCACAGAATCTCGCTGTCTACAGAGTCAAATGCTGCTTTTAAGTCAAGAAAGACCACCATTGTCGGACGTCGATAAGCATGCCTGTATTCTAGAACCTGACGAATGGTGAATATGTGGTCGATGCAGCCACGACCAGGTCTGAAGCCAGCTTGGTTTTCTCGTGTTTGCAGTTCGCGAGTCTTAGTTAAGCGTCTGATTATTATTGAGGTTAGTATTTTAGATACTATATTTGTTAAACTAATCCCTCTGTGGTTGTCACAGGATGATTTTGATCCTTTCTTATACATTGGGACGATAAGTGATGGCGACCAGTCAGATGGTATAACATCTAACTCCCAGATCTTAGCTAAAATATTAGTCAACCTAACCGCTAAAATTGGACCACCATCCTTAAAGACTTCTGGAGCCAGTCCATCTGGACCAGCTGCCCTTCCTCGTTTCAGATTAGCTATAGCCTTTTGAACTTCTGCTAGAGTTGGGGGACCTACTTCAATGTTCCATTTACACTGTCTGGGAATGGACGGTAGTTGTAAAGTCGCTGAAGGGCAGCTGATATGATTATTTACTAGTTTAGTAACCTGTATGGACATTCAAGGAGTTACGTCTTCACCATTTTACTTTCCTGAGTACTTCTGACGTCTTAAGTTTAACTGAGATGTACAGATATAGCCTTAAACTTAATTTTCCTGCTAGTTGACACTAATCAACGAAGCGTATGTTCACTTTCCAGGTAACTAATTTTTCATGTGATGTTTGGGCCCTCATGAATCAGTGTCGTAGTTCGAAACTTTACTACTGATTTATTTTACCTGTGACTGACTTGTATGATTGAGTTTCCCGATTGATCAATACTACAATGACTACAAAAATACTACATTGGTTACTGTTTAGTGATCATATTAATTGTAAATCACTTTTATATTGAATATCTCGATCTGCGTAACATATAAACTGTTCACTTTGATCCCCAAAGCTGGATGTGTCTTTTTGCTTGCTAGTAAGTTACGATGCGCTATCACTCTGAACACATTAAAACGTCTTAATTTTAATGTCAATTTAGTAAAAACAAAACAATATTTAATTATCCATCGTTTGCAAATTTTCTTTCTTTCTTTTCTATAGATTTAGTTTTATTAGTTTGTTTAACGTCATCGGTATTTTTCGTGTCTGAACTACGTAAACTTGTGCGCATACGTTCAGATTTCTATTTCTGGGCTACATATTTTTTGTCGTTTATAAAAATACCAAGACGAGTAAAAATGGATGGAAATATGGTTTGATGTGTTGATTTTTATGCCTTGTTAAAATAATGTCCTTTTCCTATAAACAGAAAATAAACGATTTTATGTTAAGATATACACGCACACATTACGGAGTTTACTTTTTATATTTATATGTGACGTATACACATTTGTAATAATTTTTAAATGTATCTTATTTAGGTAACAATCTATCTCAAACCTACTTTAATTCTCCTATCTTATAGTAAAATACTAACAGTTGAGAGAATTGTATGTATCTATTTCTTTGCTAATGAAAATAAAATACCATTCTGCCTGTACATTAAAGTATGTTTGTTTCAGTTATATTTCTCATTTTCTTTCTATCCCCATTTTCATGTATTTTTGTCGTATCATATATGGTGCCATTTTATTATCCTTTGGTTTATGTCAATATTATTTTTTTTAAAAATTTTCTGGTCATCTATTTTGCTTCAATTATGAATACTGATTCGGTTTGTTCCTTTTTTTTTGTAAAAAATTAATAAAGTTTATGTCCTGTTTCCAATTGCTTTTGTTTCACTCACCTTTTTGTACTTATATGAATGCTTCTCATAATCCAATGTACTAAGTTAATGTCGCTTCTTCTTTCACTTGTGATTTGTTATGCTGAGATTTCTAGATTTTATAAAAAAAGAATTCTGTACGTGTGTATGTCGATAAAAGTCAAATGATATTCCTTCGATCTTATCATCACCATTATCACTAATAATATTCATTCACGCAGTAATGTACTTACTGTTCTCATGTATCTTCTGTTTCTTTTATACTCACTATTCGTCTTTCTAAGATATTCAAGTCAGTGTTTTGTAGTAGAAATAAAAAGTTGTTTTCTTGTTCTGATTTGTTCAGTGTTTTCCTTTCGGATATACTAATGGATAACAAAACGGTTTAAGTAATGGTTCTCAGATTCTCAGGGTCGTCTTAACGATTAAAAACTGAGTTTTTAACTTCTACGCTAAACCTTTGAACATTGTTTCATCTACTTCCTTCTAGACAGTTGGATATTATTACTGGCCGTTATACAACAACTATTCAAAACTGAATACACAATCCTGTACTTGGTAAATAAGTTACATTAATGCAATACTATTCGGGTTCAAATATTTCTGCACTTACGTTGGTTTAAGTAGTCGTTTAGTATCACTAACCGGTGTGCAGAAAAACTATGATGCAAAGCGTCGACTGTACGAATCTGTATTTAGTTCTTGAGTTGCAATAAGATAAAATGAAAACTTGGAATAATAAAGCATTTATCAAAATTTATATCGTCGGAATAATGATTGTCAAGAAATAACTAAGTACATTTTTATTCTACGACCATTGTTAAATGTAATCTTTATTCTTTGGAAAGATATTTGAAATCGTTCATTTCATCAAATTAATGAGTACCATAGAGTCAATCGTGTACATGTTCTACCAAGAACTAACCGTTAACGCTGATAAATATGTACCTGTTAATGTTATTGATCATATTACCACACTGCAGTTGGATAGTGCATCTGATATTACTCCGATTTCTCGCAAAACTTGGTATTCATCCTACTACCGATTGGATAAAGAAGACATTGAGCATCCCAATCAAAATTTCAGTAATCAAATGCTTTGTTAAGTTCAGTGATCCAATGATAAAATATAGATCCTATGTTACCTATGAGACTTTCAATCTGTTAGGTCTTGATTAGCTCAAAAATATTCGACCTGCTATTCATTCCCATTTGTACTCAAGTATCCCATCCAACTCTCCAGCAATGTTCTTATTACCATATCATCAAGAAACTTATGCAAGGGTTTCTCGATGTTCAACAAAATAATCACAAGAGGAAGGCGTGATGTGTAGAACCATCTAGAATAACCTGGAACCCGTTGAACCTATCTTCAGAAAAACTCGCACTTCATTTGACGCCATATATCCGCAGATAATATAACGAGACCATAACCCCGAAGTAGGGAGAACCGAACGTCAACTCCCGGTTAGGTTACCTGTATGTACAAGAAGCGTCTATTTGTTCTTGCCTACCTGGGTAGTGGGCTTCCTCGTTAAAAGGGTTGGTGATATAGTTAGTCAGCCGCAACCGAGTAAGTGTAAAAGAGGCGACAGATAGACCCCTAAAAGGTTATCAGGAAAATGTTTCTTTCCTCAACGCCTACAGTCAAATTCAAGAATAGGACCTATTTTTCATTAAGGGAATGTGATAGAGCGGGGTAATCGATAGTTAGCAAATCAGTAGATCACATCCCAATCGAATGACACATCTATGTGATTGGCAAAGAACTTATGTTATATATATGAGTATTAATGCATGTAGTCCGTTTAGTTCAATAAACTTCTCTGCGTTAGCTCAAGTAGCCATACCGAATTGTTATTACAAAATGAAATTAACAAAACCAATAGCAGAGTAGTCGAAGTAATGGAGAAATGATGATTAGAAAGATTATGCATTTAGAGTATAAGTCTAAGAGACCGAACAAAAAGGTATGTGCGATGTAATCTTGGAAATGGACATCTAGAATAAGGTACTATGCGTTTGTTGCTTTTATTAATACATGAAACAACAGAAAAAGTAATCTGGACCGGAAATCTGCATTCCAGTAATGTAATGTAAATGCGGAATTCACAAACTTCTTTGTGAATATTTATAAGTTAAATGACATTGATTGAGGATCGAACACAGGGACAATGATGTAAACATATAGTGGACAAAAACACCAGTAGGAACAATCCAACGCATTGATACATACAAAACCCTAGAACCATACAGTAAATACTTCATTTGCAAAATATCGTTCGGTTGTCTCAGACTTCACTGTTCCTATCAACAATCAATTGAATGGAATTCATCACTCTACATCAATTTCATTGACTACGAAAAGGCATTTGATAGCGTGGACAGAACAACACTATGGAAACTTCTTCGACACTACGGCGTGCCTCAAAAGATAGTCAATATCATACAGAGTTCATATGATGGATTACACTGCAAAATCGTGCATGGAGGACAGTTGACAAAGTCGTTCGAAGTGAAGACCGGTGTTAGGCAAGGTTGCTTACTCTCACCTTTTCTCTTTCTCCTGGTGATCGACTGGATCATGAAGACGTCAACATCTGAAGGGAAACACGGGATACAATGGACATCTAGGATGCAGTTGGACGATCTAGACTTCGCAGATGATCTGGCCCTTCTATCCCAAGCGCAACAACAAATGCAGGAGAAAACGAACACTGTAGCAGCAGCCTCAGCAGCAGTAGGTTTCAATATACACAAAGGGAAGAGCAAGGTTCTCCGATACAACACAGCATGCACCGATCCAATCACAATTGACGGAGAAGATTTGGAAGATGTAAAAACCTTTACATATTTGGGCAGCATCATTGATGAACAGGGTGAATCTGATGTAGATGTGAAGGCACGGATCGGCAAAACAAGAGCAGCACATTTACAACTGAGGGACATCTGGAACTCAAAGCAACTGTCAACCAACACCAAGGTCAGAATTTTCAATACAAATGTCAAGACAGTTCTACTGTATGGGACGGAAACCTGAAGAACTACGAAAGCCATTATCCAGAAGATACAGGTGTTTATTAACAGTTGTCTACGCAAAATACTTCGGATCCGTTGGCCGGACACTATTAGCAACAACGTACTGTGGGAGAGAACAAACCAGATCCCAGCGGAGGAAAAAATCAGGAAGAAGCGCTGGAAGTGGATAGGACACACATTGAGGAACGCACCCAACTGCGTCACAAGACAAGCCCTCACATGGAATCCTCAAGGCCAAAGGAAAAGTAGAAGACCAAAGAACACATTACGCCGAAAAATGGAAATAGACATGAAAAAGATGAACAAGAATTTGAAGGAATTAGAAAAGGAGGCTCAGGACAGAGTGGGTTGGAGAATGCTGGTCGGCGGCCTATGCTCCATTGGGAGTAACAGGCGTAAGTAAGTAAGTAATCATTCTCTTCACGACCTTCTGTCGCCACTTCGATTGGTGGTATATGCTAATTATGTTTGTCGACATCAGTAGCACAAAGTAAAATTATTTAAAATGTTGTCGTTTGTACACGTTTGCGTGCTGTGAACTGTTCATCACTTTCACGTATAAAAATCCCTACAAAATAATAAGTACGCTGAATTAGAACGAAGCCATAACAGTAAAATTTGGAGCATAAATCTAAATCCCTGTTCTATACGTGGTAGAACATCCATTGGAATTTCGTGAACTGAAGTTCATCATGTTTTGTCTCCGATCTACCATTCATTGTAATCTGAATCTAATATTGAACTAGAAGGAATTTATTTTATTTTGCGAATCGTGTGCTTAGTGGTTTCAACCAGTCAACTGTGTAAAATACTTATTAAGTTGTTTATGGAATTTTTAATTGTTTACCCTAAAAATATTAATGGTACTAATCATGAACACTTTCTTTTAACCCATGCAACGAATGATATTACAGTTGTTTATCCATAATTAAGTGTATCTATGAGTTTAACATCAATCACCACGTAGTATATACACTTTAAAATACTTGCAATAATTGCAATCAATTTACACTATAAAAAGCCTTAGTCTATTTTATGTTTAATCTGCTCACTTAACAAAAAGCAATGACTAGTCTGTTCTGTTAAGGAAGGAAACTAACATACTTCTGTAAAGTTGCTTTTAAAGAAACGCTTTCCGGTGAGAACAATGTTAGATCTGGCAAATATAAATATGTTGATTCAAGATATTTCACTTTATATCCTCAAATATAATGGAAAGTTTGCTGGATAAAATTATAATACACCCTTGAGATGACAATATAGTAAACAAGTGAAGTGTATGGGATAACACAATGTCTCAAGCCTAGAATACTCTCGCCTTCCCTACTGCAGTTTATTTTGAACTGTGTTACTCGAAGTTTGCAACTAATAATTATAACTAAGAGCCATATTTATGAAGCCTATACCTCAGTACGTTACTCAAATTAAGAGTCAGTAATTTCATTTGCCGATGTTGCGCTACGATTTGGTCACCTTACATATATTCAGCCCAACTCAGTATAGTTTACCACGTTAAAAAAGCCGTGGCATATTTTCCAAATACCCGAGTCAATAAAAATTTACAACTATACTAATATTGCTTAATCGATGTTTCCACTACTTATATATAGTGCTCGGAATTAATCTACTCAAATGCTTACGGACTACATGTCTCTCTTGCTTTTCAGAGGATTTCCTCACAGCCGTAAGATATAATCTATAGTGAACTTCTATGTAGCGAATGGAGGTGACCTTATAGCACGTGATTTCGTCAGTTGATTTCCATACTTCCCACCTGTCTTCTGTTCAGGGCTTAGGCATAAGAAATTTTTGGGTAACCAGATAATGCTTAGAAGGCAGTGTCACATTTTCTTATACCAGACATATCAGTAAAGAAATAGATGAAAACGAGAATAGGATTCATCAGGTTCAGTGTTGCCGTTCATTTCTTCCAAAACCAGAAGGTCCTACCTTGAATGAAATTATGGGTTCACACTTTCGATTACTTTTAAATTAGTGTCCGTAGTGAAAATCGACTTCAAATTATATAGAATCTTCATATAATCATTAATCAGATATTAGTGTTAGAAATGCCAACATTGTAGATTAAAACAATACATATGAGCAAACAAAATTGTTTTCACTTAAATCATCATCAGGCCTTACTCTTAAATACATTATTACTTATTAATATAGATATATGAAATTATTAAACTTATCAAATTAATTTACAAATCAATCATCACAATTAAACAGAGTAGTCGAAAAACTATTAAATCTAGACAATACACAGTTATAATCACTTAAGATTAGTCC